TCAGTCTGTTTCTCTCCTGATGGAAATACATTAGCTTCTGGTAGTGAAGATAACTCTATCCGTCTATGGGATATCAAAAACAAGTATTGTTTAGATTACAAGATACCCTTTTTTTAACACCCCTTTGGAGTAAAAGAATATTATTTAAAATTTAGATACATCTAATATTATGGTTTACCCAGACTTCAATTTTTCAAGGTTTAAGAGAGCTTTTTTGTAAAAAACCGTTTCCTTTTAGGAGAATTGTTGGAGTAATACTTGATTAATTTAAAAACTAACCTATATTAACCCTTAATTTAAATCTATTTTAATATACTTCTTGTGTTCAATATTTGTTAATAGAGTTCTATTTTATAGTTTTTTTCTTTTTTAACAATCTTGAATCATTACAAAAATGGAAATTCATTTAGCACATTTTAAAATATTATGAAATAGAACTTTTAGTTGCATGAATGCAATAATGTCTTAAAATCTTTGTATACTGTTTTTTTGGTATTATTCTTAACATAACCAAGCATTTTCTCTCAATTTATATTTAGAATGTGAACTTACCAAGATTTATAAAGTACATGCTACCACCAAATGTTTCGACATTTATCATTTTTAAGTTTTCTATTCATCTTATTTCTTGAAAGTCAATATATTCTAATATTCTCAAAATAATATTTTTTTCAACTCATTTTTTAGTAACAGTGATAGTATCATTTTTATTTAATTGATTTTATAAACTTTAAATTTTAACTTTTTAATTGGAAAATTTTTATTAGTAAAATACTTATTTTGAAAATTTAAGAGAAAATACCCAAACATTTAAGTGAGACTAATATATATGCTTTTTTTATATATTTAAATAATTTATTGTCCAATTTTTCTTAGAAGGTTGTTATAGTGAATATAAATTTGAGTAAGATTATCCATTATGTTTATCAAATATAACCATTTAATGAGTTTTTAAATGGTTAAAGGATATTATTTTTTTATAGATATTAATTAATTTTGTAAAAAAATCATTTTGAAGGGACAACAGTGATTATACATTGAGTAATAACTGTTTATTATTTGATGTATGTAAAATTTCAAGTTTAGCTCAAGTTCATCAATAATTAAGATTCATATATAATGGATAGAGAAGATAGAATTATCTCCTTAAATCTTAATAATTACAAAATTATAATACTTTTTTAACATGTTTTCAAAGTTTTTTAATATCTTTTTCAATTAACAGTTGATTGATACATTATCTTAGAGTTATGTTAAAATTAATCAATATTATCTATTGTTAACTTTGTTATATAGTTTAGATTATATTCTAAGATTAACTTTATTATTTTAATTCTTGTCATATCTTTTTTATTATTATCTTTTTTATTAAATATATCTTTTACCATTAATAAACTAAATTTACAAAATTATTAATTATATCTATTAAGACTTATGTTTATAAATAGTAATAAATTAAATAAATTATCAGAATATCTTATGAAAAATAATCATGCAGTTTTTTGTTAAGTTAGTTTTCAATTAAGTAATTAAAATCAATCTTTATTTTAATTTCTTCATTTAACTTAATGTTCTCTGTTTGGATTATTAATTTAATGTAGTATCATTTAACATTAAATCTCTATAAATGTTAATTAATATCAGTTTTTTTTAAGGAGATCTCAATAAATATACCCTACATTTCCTTAAAATGGAATACTTTTGAAAAACTTGTATGAATCTTAAAAAATCAAATTAAAAATAAAACCAAAAAAAGATATAATTTAAAAAATATAAAGAATGAATTAAAATAATAATTGTTGTAATGTTCTTTATAAATAATAATTATCACTTTTTCTGAAGGTCTTCTAAAATACAGCTACCCTTTTGTTTAAACAATGTCTTTAAATCAATACCGGATTGATTTATAAACTCTCCTTTCAAAATTAAAGCTCCTTTGGCTTAAAATATTAGTTTTTGGGATATAAGTAGTGTAGTGATGTAATTGGAGGCTATAAATATGATAGATGATAAATACTACCTTGTGAAATATGGCTCTGTTATTGGAGTGGAATTTTTAATTATGCAAGAATATCTTTGTAGTTTTTATCAGAGGATTTAATTTCTTATCCTGTCTTTACATCCCATAGACGGATAGACTAATCATAACTACCAGAAGCTAATGTATTTCCATCAGGAGAGAAACAGACTGAGTTAATACAATTACTATGACCATCTAATTTGGCTTTTTATTATCCTGTTTTGACATCCCATAGACGGATAGACTCATCTCTACTACCAGAAGCTAATGTATTTCCATCAGGAGAGAAACAGACTGATTTAACAGTATCACTATGACCATCTAATTTGGCTTTTTATTATCCTGTTTTGACATCCCATAGACGGATAGACTTATCATCACTACCAGAAGCTAATGTATTTCCATCAGGAGAGAAACAGACTGAGTAGACATAATTACTATGACCATCTAATTTGGCTTTTTATTATCCTGTTTTGACATCCCATAGACGGATAGACTTATCATCACTACCAGAAGCTAATGTATTTCCATCAGGAGAGAAACAGACTGAGTAGACATAATTACTATGACCATCTAATTTGGCTTTTTATTATCCTGTTTTGACATCCCATAGACGGATAGACTTATCATCACTACCAGAAGCTAATGTATTTCCATCAGGAGAGAAACAGACTGAGTAGACATAATTACTATGACCATCTAATTTGGCTTTTTATTATCCTGTTTTGACATCCCATAGACGGATAGACTTATCATCACTACCAGAAGCTAATGTATTTCCATCAGGAGAGAAACAGACTGAGTAGACATAATTACTATGACCATCTAATT